TCTGCAAACCCTAACATCTCAACCAATTTATTCATTTCAACCAATTTCTACTCTTGCTGGGTTCTTCATCATCATCATCATCAAACAACAAAGCCCAAAAATAAATAAATAAATAAATAAGGTAGAATTTTTTTTTTTTTTTTGCCCCTGGGTTTGATATCAAGAACAATAGCAAGACACGGAGTATCACAAAATGGAGAAGACGAGTGTCTAGATTAGGGCTTACATCCAAAAGAGGGAGAAGCTCATCGATTGAAGGAGGAGGAGACATGAGCATGTTCCCAGCTTCCTTTAGTTGCTCTGCAAGCTCTGTATCTAAAGATGCCATGGCTACTCTTTGCATAGAAAGAAAAAAACCTAAACAAATATATCTCTAGATCCCTAACAACCTCACACACGTCTCCCCAAAATTTCGCCCCATGAAAATCTAAATTCAAGGTAAAGAAATAGATTTCCATCGAACCTAGGCATGCTAGGTTCCACCAAACCCAACTGCTGGGTTAGAAGGAAGCCAGGCGTGTTGGGTTCCAACAAGAAAGAGAAGGAAAAAGAAAAAAAAAATTAAGTTTTATTTTTCATATTAATATTTTTTTTTATTTTATTATTTTTTCCATATCATCACTTTTTTTTATCATATTGTGTTCTAAGTGTATTAATATTTGACATGTCATCTTGTAGCCATTAAGTAACAGACCACATCACAAGATTTTTAATGGAAGAACCAAATCAAGGTTAAAATGGTAAATAGTAGGGATCAAATCGGGGGTTCGTATAATAATTCAGGGATCAAAATGGGGTTTGAATGAAAAAAAAAAAAATAACCTCGTGTACTCCTAAGGATGCCACCTACACAAATCCCATGCAAACATTTGATGTCTTTACACAAATGTGCACAAAATTATGTTAATTTCAAGCTTCTGGAAGGACCTATAATTTTATGAGAAGATATTTTTAAAATTATTACTTGCTATTATTATTCTTGAGTCTTCACATATTAATTACCTTAAACTAGTGTTGGGTGAAATGAATAACATTTTTCGGGAGAGGGATCAAACTCAACATTTAGCTGTAGAAATGGGTGCACTCTTTAATTGGTCCAAGAGAATAAGTTTGAGTGAATGGGAAATTTTTTTTGAATATGGTATAACTTTGGGGAAGGGGGAATGGGAACTTGAATCCAAGTCATGAACCTGGAACATGCACCCTTTATCAACTGGGGTTAGAGTTAGAGCCTGGGTGTGAGTGAAAGGGAAATTGTTTGACAAGCTATAAGAATCTTTATGGGAAAATTTTATGTTGGTATTCAAACCTTGATTAATTTTTTCCTTCTACATTCTTTTATAATTTTACTATTGAATTAGACTCTAAAATCATGTTATGTGCGATTTATTTATACTACACCTTTATAGTAATTGTTAGATATAGTAATATTGATTTATATTTGAAATTAATTTTTAATTAATGAATATAAAAGTCATTTCAAATATATATTAATTTATTGTAAGCAGATATCTAACTTCCATATCAACAATTGAAATGTTTTTAGAAAAACACAATAGAGTTATGGACCGCGATTGGTGCACACCCGGATTCAACACCCGGGTGTGCACACTTGGCATAACCAAAGATAACCAAAAATTTTAAAAGTGTAATTACAAATTTAACCTTTAACTCATTTTCTCTCGATTCTTCCCCTTTCTGCAAATCTCCACCTTGTTTCCATTCTCGGATCTGGTTCTTGGAAGAAAATTCTTCATCCACAAGGATCTTTCCTTCAAAAATGGAATAAAATATTTCTCCTAGCCTGTATAATCGCTTTGGCACTGGACGCACTTTTCTTCTACATCCTAGTGGTTGTGAATAACGAAACCCAAAAATGCCTCACCATGGATAAAACACTTGAAATC